TGCCTGGATAGATTATCGTAAAGCATTCGATAGTGTACCACATTCCTGGATCTTAAAGTCTTTAAGTATGTACAAGGTATCACCCGTTATCATCAATTTCATCAAACAATGTATGTCGATATGGAAAACTACACTTTACCTCAATCATAAAAATGGAACCTATAAGTCTGGCGAAATAAACATCAATAGAGGAATATTTCAAGGTGACTCTTTGTCTCCTTTATTATTTTTTGCATATCACTTATAGCATTAACCAGCCAACTTAACAAGACAGAATGCGGTTACAAAATAGCTCAAAAGAAAATAAACCATCTATTTTACATGGATGACTTAAAATTGTATGCTAGGAATGACAATGAGCTGGAAGGTCTTCTGCAAACTGTAAAATGCTTCAGTGAAGACATTGGAATGAAATTCAATTTGGATAAATGTGCTAAAGCTACAGTTTTACGAGGATCGCTACAACAAACTTCCTCTATTAGTTTAGACCCTGCTGTAACAATAAAAGATTTAGAACAAGGAGAAGCTTATAAGTACCTAGGTGTAAATGAGAGTGAAGGAATTCACCATAAGAAAATGAAAGAAATAGTGCGTAAAGAGTACTATAGAAGGGTACGACTGGTATTAAAAACTGAATTGAATTCTCAGAACAGAATTATGGCCATTAATAACCTTGCCATCCCAGTGGTCCAATATAGTTTCAACATCTTGAACTGGACTCTAAATGACATCAGACAAATGGATTCTAAAACAAGAAAGCTTCTTTCTAAGTATAAGATGCATCATCCAAAGGCTGATGTAGACCGTCTATACATACCCCGTAAAGAAGGTGGAAGAGGTCTTATTCAGCTAGAATTGTCATACAAGACAACAACTATTGGCTTACTAACTTACATGGAAACAACAAATGACTGGATGATAAAATTAGTGAAACAACATGAAAACAGAAAGAAAAAAAATATTCAATAATAAAAGAAGGCAGTAAATACAAACAACATTTACATTTAGTAGATTCTGTAGTAAATCAAAACAGAAGCCAAGAACCAACTTTATTGCAGCAAAAGATATGAAAAAAAAGCCAAGGATAAAGCCCTTGAACAGATGAAACAACGCTGGCAAGACAAACCTCTGCATGGCCAATATCCAGAACGTGCAAATAAACCCAATGTTGATAAAGTTAATACTCATCGATGGTTACGAGCATCTGGATTAAAGTCTGAAACTGAAGGCTTTATTCTTGCAGCGCAAGACCAGAGTCTTTTCACTAGGAATTTTCAGGCAAATATCATACATAATAATGTGGATCCAAAATGCAGGTTCTGTGACAAATACCAAGAAACAATAGACCATCTAATCTCAGGATGTTCTATACTTGCCCCAAATGAATATAAAAATCGTCACGATAGAGTGGGGCAATACTTACACTGGACAATGTGCAAACACTTTGGAAAATGTGTAAGCAAACACTGGTATGAACATCGGCCAGCGCCGGTTACAGAAATAGAAGATGTCACCATTCTATGGGATTATACCATCCACACAGACAGAAAAATTGAAGCAAATAGGCCGGACATTATTGTCAAAAACCAGAAAGAAAAAAAAACTTGCCTACTAATTGATATGGCTTGTCCAGCGGATTGTAACATAGCAACCAAGGAATTTGAAAAACTATCAAAATACAAAGACCTGGAAATTGAAATAGAAAAAATGTGGAAATTGAAAACAAGAATAATACCAGTGGTAATAGGTGCACTTGGAATTATAAAAATGGAACAAAACAACACATTGAAAGAATCCCTGAAAACCCCAGCTTAAGAGACATACAGAAAATTGTCTTATTAAGTACAGCACACACACTAAGGAGAACTTTGTCTATGTAACGCTAGCAACTTCATCGGAGATAAAAAAAAAAAAAAAAAAAAAAATTAACATGAAATGTGGCCATAACAACACACCACGACCTGCCTTAGGTCTTTCCGCAGACTTGGTAGGTAGTAATAAAAAAATAATAATAATAATAATAATAATAATAATAATGATAATAATAATGGAGAAGAAAAGAAAGAAGAAGAAATGGAATAAAGAAGATGGCAAAGAGGTAATAATAATAATAAACATAATAATAATAATAATAATAATAATGGAAGAAGAAGATGATGGTGAATAGGATGGAGAAGTAGAAAATGAAGAAGATGAGGATAAAGAAGAAAGAAAAGGCAGAGGAAAATAAATAATAATAATAATAATAATAATAATAATAATAATAATAATAATGGGAAGAAGAAGAAGATGATGGTGAATAGGATGGAGAAGTAGAAAATGAAGAAGAAGAGGATAAAGAAGAAGGAAAAGGCAGAGGTGAATAATAATAATAATAATAATAATAATAATAATAATAACAATGGGAAGAAGAAGATGATGGTGAATAGGATGGAGAAGTAAAAAAAAAGAAGATGAGGATAAAGAAGAAGGAAAAGGTAGAGGTGATAATAATAATAATAATAATAATAATAATAATAATGGAAGAAGAAATGATGGTGAATAGGATGGAGAAGTAGAAAATGAAGAAGATGAGGATAAAGAAGAAGGAAAAGGCAGAGGGGAATAATAATAATAATAATAATAATAATAATAATAATAATAATAATAATAATAATGGGAAGATGAAAATTATGGTGAATAGGATGGAGAAGTAGAAAATGAAAAAGATGAGGATAAAGAAGAAGGAAAAGGCAGAAGTGAATAATAATAATAATAATAATAATAATAATTACCAGACACACATAATGAAAAATTGTGCTGAACCCAAATGCTGATTCTGTGATAAATATCCAGAAACAACTCAGCATCTTGTATCAGGTTGCATAGTGTTAGCACCCATTGAATATAAAACTCGGCATGATAAAGTGGCCTAATAACTGCATTGGAAAATATGCAACGCTTACGAGAAGGAAACTGCAAGAAATTGGTGTGAACATCACCCAGATCCGGTTACAGATAGAGGACCTGTAATAATTTTATGGGACTTTACAAGACACACAGACAGAACAAAAGCTAATCTTCCAGACATCGGGTCAGAGACCACATAAACAGAATGTGCTTTTCTTATTGACATGGCAGTCCCTGCAGATTGTAATGTATCTTTGGAGATCTTCAAAAAAACTATCAATATACAATGGTCTTGGCATGAGGACATCAATAATTCCAGTTGTAGTTGGAATCCGCTAAAATGGCCCTGAAAGACTCATTGAAGGAAATCCTGATAGACCTAAAAGCCTTAAAGAAATAGAAAGATTCTTACTCGCAACTACAGCTCACACTTTACGAAGAGTTTGTAAAATGTGTGTAACCTTAGGCTTTTTTTACAAAAATAATGACCTTATGTCTCTGGTTAAAATGTCATGAAATGAAATGCGTATAAAACAGAAAGAAAGAAGAAGAAGAAGAAGAAGAAGAAGAAGAAAAGAAAAGAAGAAGAAGAAGAAGAAGAAGGAGGAGGAGAAGAAGAAGAAGGAAGAGGGACAAAAAAGAAGAAGAAGGAGGAGGAGAAGAAGAAGAAGAAGAAGAAGGAAGAGGAGACAAAGAAGAAGAAGGAGGAGGAGAGGGAGAAGAAGAAGAAGAAGAAGAAGGAAGAGGGGACAAAGAAGAAGAAGAAGAAGAAGGAAGAGGAGACAAAGAAGAAGAAGAAGAGGGAGGAGGAGAAGAAGAAGAAGAAGGAAGAGGGGACAAAGAAGAAGAAGGAGGAGGAGGAGGAGAAGAAGAAGAAGAAGAAGAAGAAGGAAGAGGAGACAAAGAAGAAGAAGAAGGAAGAGGGGACAAAGAAGAATGAGGAGGAGGAGGAGAAGAAGAAGAAGAAGAAGAAGGAAGAGGAGACAAAGAAGAAGAAGGAAGAGGAGACAAAGAAGAAGAAGGAAGAGAAGAACAGAAAAACAAGCATAAATAATAGTAATAATAATAATAGGCCAGGTTTAAATATTTTCCAAAACCAATTATTTCAATGCTACTAAGTCAATTTTCAAGTTCACTTTTTTAATATTGTTTCTTAGAGTTGAAGTTCTGTACGTAGCTAAACGCTACTCTGCCTAGAATGTTGTGAATTTCCAACAATTAATAATATCATTTTAAAGTTTCAAACTATCAAAGATTATAACTTTAAAAGGTAACATTTTCGTTATGTATTACGTATAGATTCCGAAAGGGTAGCGCTGCTACAGAGGTATTTAAAAACATTTTGGCTGTGTATATGGGGGCAGTGAATGTTTCATATATGTGCGCTGTGCGACAAAACGTTTTAAAAATGGCGATTATGACATCAACGAAAAAAGTTGAAAAAGAGTTTTTCAAAATCTTTCAAGGTAAAAATTCAGATTTCTTTAAACGGGCAGTCAGAAATGATTTTCCCGCTGGGTTGAAATCGTTGAAAATATAATTGTTGAAAAATTTTATATTTGCTAAATAATAATTAACTTTACCGACACCATGATAATATTTAGAGCAGGGATATTTAACCTCGGGTCGAGGGGTTTCAGATAAAATTTGACGTTTATATCCACTATACAGCCCTTGTCCCAATCAATGGTTTTCCAAGAAATAAAAGAAAATGCATCCCGTCACTGCTTGAAAGAAAAGCACCCAGTCAAAACTGTCAAAAAAATTCCTCTAGGCACTGTAAGTGAGTAAATTAGTTCATATTTACCATTTAAACTGATGTCATCATTCTCTGCACGACCGCTATCTTTTGCCACTCCATGAAGTCAAGTGATAATTCTCCTTTTCTACGGTTTATCAAGGCTTGATTATCTTCTCATATACTGCTGTGGATTAATTGGCCAGAATTTCTTTCAAATTTTCTGTCATATCTACGAAACAATAACCTCTCGATAGATAAAGTACATTATATCCACTAGATGCAAAGTTATGTTCATGTGACTATTTCTGGAGAAGGAGATCCATAGCTCTCATCGGACTCTTAAAGGGGGGGAACCGTGACTCAAAAGAAGTTACGGTCATATCAGGCTGAAACACTGGCTCTCGTACGATCACCGAAGTTAAGCAACGCCGAGCCTGGCCAGTACCTAGATGGGTGAACGCTAAGGGATAACAGGTGCTGAAGGCTTGAAAGTGCTGGTGATGTACTAGATAACGGCTTAGAATTAGAAATCAGCTCTCTGAGTTCCAATTTCAGTCTGGTTCATTATATTCACTTGGGCGCAAATACTATTGGGGAGTGTATGAGTGAACCTCTTCTCCAACTAGCTATGGGTTAATTAGTATAATTTGTATCAATACAATTCTTGTTATCTACAAAATAATTCTTAAGATATAAAAATAATTTCTGGCTTTAAATAACCTTCAAATGGATGACAAGTGGTAAAGAAACAAATCAGTCAATCAGTAATAATATTCATTTGTTTCATATTCTTTCTGATTTATGTTTCTCATTTCATCCCAAGCAAAACTATAATGTTTCTTGGATGCAATTGCTTATAGGGAATGAAAGATAATGAGAAGATTTTAATTTGGAGAAAGGACGCTAAAAAACGAGTTCCAGGATAACAATTGGCGTTGTATTAAATTTTTTGAAGATGGTAGTTGACAGGGAAGCAATAAATCGGAAGGAACTTCCACGGGCGAGAAAAGGAACTATTAGAATAGAACATACGGTTGCATCAATCTACTTCAACAGTAAAATGGTGAGGCCTAATTGCCAGTCTAGTAGAACGATTAAACTCATACAGTCGAGGCACCAAAGAAGAAAGCTCATCAGAAAAATTGCCGGTGCTACTATAGTACAATATCTACCATCCATTTTCTACGATAGTATAATATCTACTATTCATTTTCTACTATACTATGATATTTACCAACTATTCGAAGTATGAAATATGTTACGGTTTAGGATTAGGGTTTAGGGTTAGGTGCCAGCGTTAGGATTTATGGCTAGGTGCTAGAGGTAGGGTTTAGGGTTTGATGCTAGGGTTAGGGATTAGGTACAAGGGTTAGGGTTAAAGGCAGTGATCAGTGAACTGGTTATGTATTAAAAATCATTAACAAGTTTTATTACAAAAATTTTTAAAAACCATCAGTGATTTTAATGTTTGTAAACTGATTTGATGTCATTTAAAAAAAAAAAAAAAAAACAGTAAAAAGGTCATCGTTTTTCCTGAGCATTCTCCAGTAATAATATGTGCATCGTCATTTATGATAGGTCACAAAATGCCTAGGTAGATATCAAACCGTAGTCGCACCTGCCATGGAAATATTTGTAGAAAAGACAGAGGGAAGCCAGGTCATGGTGATGAGAAAGTGACTGAAGTCGTGATGTCAGGTCAAGATCGATTATTATTTACCGAACACCAGACGAAATGTGACACTTGACCGAGTTTAAACTGGACGATTTTTCAAGATTCGTCGTCATTTTCCTACAGGGATACGCCTCAAGCGCTAGATATTAACCCTAGCCCTCTCCCGAGGAAGAGGGGTTGCCAGGGTAGACGATTTCCACCATTTTTAGTAGGGGTTACTTAAACTCTTAAAATGATTTGCATGCGCCTCGGATCCAAAATTCGGCTAAACGTGCATTTTCAAATCATTGACCTCCCGCTCACCTGTCTACCGCTCTAACCTCTGAGTCAACTCTATTCAAAATTTGAAAAAAAAATAGTGAATTATACATTAGTTTAAATTTCGTTGACAGCGTCATCTGGTGCTTTTACAAAGAGGCACCAATGTAGGGGACTTTTTTTTCGAATCATTTCAAACGCTTTCCCATAAAATATTAACGTTTCTACCAGATACACTTTGCCAGGCGTGCTTTTCACTTGGTTTTGCAGTAGTGCTTTCCTGTATAGCAATATGAGTGTGTTCGGTAAGATAAATATGGGTTTGAGTGTTAAACACAAGAAACAGAAAGGGATGGCCGTTAGAATCAGTAAAATAGAACACAGAGAGGGGGAGTATAGAGGGTGGAGGTGATGGAGGCGATGACGGCGTGGAAGAGGTGAGAGCTAATGAAGCAAACACATGTATTGCAAATGCAGACGGTGTGAGTTCGCGACATGTCTGAATAAACGCATAATACATTTATATTCACACACTCACACACGCACGAATATATATATATATATATATATATATATATATATATATATATATATATATATATATATATATATAAAATATATATATATATATATAATATATATAATATTCCATAATTTCCATAATTTTATTACATTGGAATCGTAATTACGATCAATTCATCAGACCTACAAATTCAAAAAAAAAATTGGAAAATATAACTCCGGTATATAAAACAAAATATTAGTAGAGATTTGTGTGTGGAGTCTAAGTGTGAGGGAAATGTATGAAAATTATAGAGAGAGGTATAACAGAAAGAAAAGAACAGGAAGGCCTATATATATATATATATATATATATATATATATATATATATATAAGTGCGCCAGGCGTGCAGAGAATAGAAAAGAACACGTTGGGTGCATAATCCGAACTCCTTAGTACTTTTGTTTTATTTCTAAGAAGACAGTGCTCCATTCAGAAGTAGAGCTTTTATTATAATAATATTTTTTTTAAAAAAAATATTTCCTTCGCTACATAAAGACTCATGTTTCAAAAACGAGAGCCAAAACCATCTAAATAATTATTAAAATTAAGATGAATTAAGGTGTTTAGTCCCGTTTCATCTTCAAGTGAAATTTTAGTTCGCTTATTTGGGTGGTTTCGGCTCTCGTTTTTGAAACATGAGAACTCTTATGTAGCGAAGGAATCATATTTTTAAACAAAAAAATATTATTATATATATATATATATATATATATATATATATTCAAATATATATTGTTAAATATAACAATCAATGAATGTCTATTATGTTAGATCATGAGCCGGTCTAAATTTCATATAGTAGTTTTAGTTTCGGGAGAAGATAAATACAAAAACTGTCCAACATTTAGATATTTTTTTGTTATGCTATTCCTCGATCTAAGATTTCGGCTCACATGAGCCATCATCAGAGTGGCTATATGGACATTTTAACAAAGATGTTCACCATCAAATTGGACATCTCGTTATGTTAACATAGAATTTTGCTATGCAACGATAACGGTCGCGGAATAGCAAACGCAGGTCGTAAATTCGTAATGGGGTTCTATGACGTCGTACATGACTGCGTGAGAGAAAGACATGTTATTAATAGAACCATGTGTTTAGATGCATTGTAATATGTTGTGACTGTTTTGAAATGTAATTTTGTTGAGTGTGGGTTGCTTTGTTTTAATGTAGATGGCCTCTTTAATGTTCTTTGTACTGTGTGCATGTTTAAGTATTCTTGTGCTTTTTCACTCACGTGGTCATATACGTCATAGAACCGCATTAATTAATATATATATATATATATATATATATATATATATATATATATATATATATATATATATATATATATATATATATAGCAATATATGTAGGCGTTGCCCGTGCTTGATTCAAATATCGTGCGACTCATACAGTAATCGCTATCATTTGACTTAAAATATTTTTTACCCTTCTTTGCCTTTAAAGGAGTGCTCTTTGCCGTGCTGATGTTGCTACATGCCTTACATCTTGCCTATCTCACACTGCGAATTTTTTCTAAGCTCTATACTAAACATTAAATCTGTTACGAAAAAAAACTAAACAAAATGAACACAAAACGATCAGCTTTAAAAAGGACTCGTAACTGGAAAAACCGAATGAAAAAAAGAATGTTAACAACAAATACTTTTTTCACACCAACCCAGTTCTGCGGAATCAGAATCAACGTTGAGTTTAAGCAAGCGAATCAGCCAATTGGAGTAAAGTGCCATGCAGATTTAATTTTTTCCCACTTGTGATGAATGCAGCTATCGATATTTCTTGCATGCTAGCATGCTAGTTAACATTCGTGTCAGTCAGCTGTTGGGTCTCATGCTGGCCAATAGAATCTTCCTGCCTATTCGTGGCAGCCAGCTATAGGTTCTCACTCTTGCCAGTAGAAAATGGCCGCAAACTACATGAAAACTGCCGTAGAAGCATGAAAAAATCGATTATTTCCACTATTGATGGGAGTTGGGAAATGCAAAGTCGGTTTTCGCCTTTCCACTAACTTGGTGCATGTACATGTAAATTTTGGTGCAAATCCGTCGAAAATTGCGGCCGTGCATTCGTTACACACACACACACACACACACATCCTGCCTTTTATAGATAGAGATGGAGGCACGCAACTGCGTTTTTTTTTTCATTCAGGCTTTCTCACGCTTAATGAAATTAATTTCAAGTCATTCAAGGTGATGTCTTTAAAAGGTCAAATTGAAATGTTATGTGTATTTGCAAAAACAAATTTAAAAATATAAAAAAAAACAGTTGCATAAATATACACAAAACATGATCTGTGAGAACGAATGTAGCAACATTCGAAAGTACCCGGGAAAATATTCCCGATAACATAACAACTAATTCGTAAATTTAAAAAAAATTAATAAACATTTAGAGACAGAACTTGTCGATATTAGACAGGGTATCCATAGAGTTCGTGTGCACTTTAAAAAATTTCTAACTTTATTTGTATTTGCGATAGAAATAATCTGTAAAAAAATGTTATAAAGTTTAATGTACCTAGTTTTAAGTATAGCTAAAATAACTAATGTGATTTCAGGCATTACTGTAAATCAGTTGGTAAATGTTTTCCGTGAACTGTAAAATCGTATTACCCTTTGTATTTGTAGGACATATGGAAACTTAAATAAAATTTCAATAAAATCTTAAAAAGATTTATTCTTTCTAATCTTTTTTACAGATTATTTCTATCGCAAATATAAATAAAGTTATAACTTTTTCAAAAGTGCACACGAACTTTATGGACTCCCTGTATATATATGTTGAATTTAGCGTAGGTCACATTCGATTGGGTTAATCACGGCAAAACTCACAAGCTTATTTTTAAAAGTGTTCTGCTTTTGAATTGTAGTTTAAAAGCAGTAAAATCGAATTTGTTAGCCAGATGTTCCTCTGTAGCTAAACTGGTATAGGCTGTTAGGCTATATAACGTTTCCGTGTTAGCTGCGGGTTCGATTCCTGTCGGAGGACACATTTTCTTTGAATATCTTTCGGACGTTCAGGTCGATAAATGTTAATACTGTTTATTATAAACAGAGCTTTTACTTAAATATTTGTCTATATGAATAACGTTTAACAATAAAATATCTTTAAAAAATTGTCGGACTTTGTCCATTTCGTAGTGTGCTACGTTATATATATATATACAGGGTTCAATGAATAAATTATCATCTAAATGATGCCAAAGTGAAAATAACACTGACATCTAGAATATCTTGAAATACTAATTAATTTATTCAATAAAATCGCCATTGCCTTCAATCACGGTCTCCAGACAACTTCAGAATCTCCTGTAACTGTCCAGGACGGTCTCCTTGTTTAAGTTTGCGAAAGCTGCCATAATTCTTGCTTGTAGTTCATCTTTGGAGTTACAGAGAAGTTTTGTTGGTCTTTCTCTCAACTGCGCCCTACACATAATAATCAAGGGAATTGCAGTCTGGGGAGTGACGTAACCAGATTTAAGGGGTGATGTGGTCGCAGAAATTATCTGACAGCCATGACTGGGTTCCCATGTTTGTGTGGCATGGTTCAGAGTCCTTTTGACATACATAGTGTCATACTCTTGACCCAGGACAGTACTGCCTCCTCAAGTCACTTGATGTGGGTCTCCATGTTGAGTTCCTGTAGGAAGATGAAAAGAGGCATTACGTCACCATCACTAGTGATCACTCCAAATACCTTCGTAATCACCATTAGACTCACAAAACTCTTTCCGAATCCTCTGCACTGTCCCCAGATTGACACCCAAACAAAATATGTTCGCATTGGAGCTTCTGGCGCGAATGCCAAACAGTACAATATGCCATTTCCAAATTCTTGACGGAATAAATTACATCATGGACCTCTTTTTCTCACAGATGGTGCCCCAAATGACCCTACTATACTGTGCTATCAACAAAATCAAAAACA